GGATTTGGTTTTCCTCCTCCCTTGCCAACTGAGCCGAGTCTGAAACCACCAGACCTGGGGATTAAGTGTTATGTCCTTTAAAAAGCAACACAGGTTAAGAGGAGGAAATTAATGAAAGCTAAGGGGGTTTTTTTGCTGTTTGTTTTACACAGTTGGTGCCTACTTTCAGAACAACCTTTAAAAAAAGTCATGTGTTTCACAAGGAGTGATTAATAATTAATGCATACATTGCACATTTGGTGAGAGAAAGACAATCAGCAGGACACAGGAAAAGGATACAGGCACGTAAACATATTCATATACACGTATCTCACCATGTGTACAGTTCATTTTATGTTAAAGTGAGCTTAGACTCAGATCAGATTAAGAAGTTAAACCAGGCCAAAAGATAAAATAGATTTCCTATGGGCTGATACTCCACACTTCGATAGGCAGCACCAGCCAGGCAAGAGGACCAGGTTCAAAATGTAACACCTGAAGAGCTATCCTGCAACAAAACACCCTAACAGATTGGGAGCAAAAACCTACATAAAAACATGGAAGTTTGTTATCCAGAAGGTGTGTTGGGTTAGTGGGGCAGGGGGCGGTTTTTTCTGGTAGTGGAGGAAGGGTGACCTTATGAAAGCGGAAAGCTCAGACCCCCCTGCCCAGGCTGGGCCAATGAGCACTAGCGAAACACCTCTGTGAATCCATATTTGTGAAGGGAAGGACTGTCCTGAAAGGAAGAAGGTGTGGTACCTGGAGGAGAGGCCGTTGACAAACAAAAGACGACCATCAGCCTAAAGAAAGGACGGACAGACAGAGAGAGCTTCGTTGCCAGAGGAAAAAGGTGGAAAGACAAAGATCCACACGCAGTTCACCTGATGGAGTAGGAGAAGGAAAAGGAAGAGCTTTGCAGCCCATTGAGTTTCAATGGTGGAGCAGTACCCACGTATAGGCCATGGAGGACCCCACCCTGGAGGGCAAGTTTGACTGAGGGCAAGTTTGACTGAAATTGTGACCCCAAGCCAGAGCAGGGAGCGGACCCCCAGAGTGGGGGGGCGAGTCTGCAGCCTGTGGATGTCCCCATGCCAGAGCCGGGAGCTGAGCCCCAAGAGATCCGTGACTCTGTGGGAAGCTCGGGTTGGAACCTCTTGTTCCTGGACTTCCATGCCAGGAAAAGCATCAGAGGTGAACTGACTGAACCCCCATTCCCTGTCCCCTGTGCCGCTGGGGGAGAAGGTAGAGACATCGGGAGCAAAGTGATTGGAGCCCGGGAAGAAGGGAGGGGTGGGGGGAAGGTGTTGTAAGATGTGGTTGTTTTGTCTACCCAGATTATTTGCAACAAATTAAACTGATTTTTCTTCCCCTAGTTTGAGTCTGTTTTGCCTGTGAGCATAACTGGTGAGTGAGCTGTCCCTGTCCTTCATTCCTAACCCCATGCCCCCTTTGTTGTGTCTCCCATCCCATCTCACCGGGTTGGGGGAGTGAATGCAGGACCTCATGGTCCTACTGTGGGTCAAACCACCAAAGAAGGTAAAAGAAGTTTAGAATGAAATCCCTGCAGGAAACAATATAGACAGCACACTACAAAAACACAAGAAGACAATGTGCATCTTTCATCCAGAAAGACTTGAGAGACTGAAGGGGAGAACAGCATGGTTAAGCAGCAGGGTTATAAGACTCTAAGAAGCAAGACAACATCCTTCAGAAAGTTTTTGGAAATATATTTCTATAGGTTAAATGTCAAAACATAAGTTGGGCAAAAAAGAATTTCAGGAAAACTTGAAAATGACATTACAAATAATAAAAAATTCTTCTTCAAACAAATAAATAGTTGAAGCCCTTTAGAGAAATGGTAGGGTTAGCAAATGGTCAGGGTATGACAGAGAGAGGAAAAGGTAAGGCCACACACCTTACATTTGTACTGAGGGGAAGGAAGAGGAGAGGTTTCCATGACACCCAAGGGACTTACAGGATCTCTCAAGCTGAGATGACAATAAAAAGGATCATGGAAGAGCCAGACAGGACCAACAGCAGCGTGCTGCCAGGGTTAGATGCTGTTCACCCAGGATTTCTCGAGAAACTTGTGAATGAAATGGCTGCATGACTTACAGTCGGCTGCAGCCTCTCACAAGTTACCTCGATGCTGGGAGACTGGAAATTTGGTGCCAGTATTTAAAAGAGGTTCCATTTGAGAAACTTCAGGTAGTAAGTCAGAAACCTGTATTAGGCAAATAAATTGAAGCATGAAATTCATAGATATGTGGAGTAATAATATGTATTTGTCCATTTTTAAAGGTAAATCCTGTATCACAAACCTGCTGGAGAGCTCTTAAGAAACAAAGCAAGGAGAAGATAGGAGAGAAGTCCTTGCCTGAGTAAACAACTGGTTAAAGGAAAGAGAAGGTAGGAACATCTGTGGTGGAAGATGACCTGTGGAGCTCCACTGTGGTATGTGCTGAGACCCCTATTCCTCAACACTTCGGTAAGTGACGAAAGGGGGATGAGATGGGAGGTGAAAAACGTTAGTACAGACAAGATCTGATGGTAAAGAACTGCAGAAAGACCTCGGGACATTTTGTGCTTGGACGTTAAAGTGACAGGTGAAATTCAGGGTGGATAAAGTTACACATATGGGAAAAATGATCCTACCTCTACATGTAAAATGATGACTCTAAGCAGATCAATTCCACCAAGATCAGTCTACCACAAAAATGTCACCTCAGTGCTCAGAACGAGTCAAAAAAAGTCAATCAAATGCTAGTAATTACACACTTGCATCTTTGATAAGATTTTGGTCCCCTCTACCTCCATTTTTAAAAGCACATAGGAGAAAAGAAACCTAGAAAAATGTCCAGAAAAGGGCACTGAAGATTGAAACAGCTTCTACAAAAGAAATGGCTAACCTTTTTGGTGAGTTTGGAATCTGGAAAAGAGGGAGAAAACAGCAAAGGTCTATAAAATGAGGAATGGGGCAGAGAGGGCTGGTGGACAGTCATTATTCACTTTTCCAGGCACGACAGCTATAAGCAACAAGTGACACAAACATACAGCAGGTTCAAAAGAGCTAAAAAGGGGTGATTTTTCACTGAAAATTTACTTGTAGGATCTTTGTCCACCTGATGTGGATGCTAAAAGCTGACATGGGTTAAAGCGGATGCTGACAGGGTTCATGAAAGAGAAACTGAATTAGAAATATAGAGAAACCACTGCAGAGTCAGGAAGTCCCCCAGAAAGAGACTTTAGGACATAGAGAATTTGGGGCAATACTCCTCTCTGCTTGTCTATTCTGCTTTTGGTCACTCCTGGAGAGAGGATTCTAGGCTGGCTCACTTTTGGTCTTACTGTTCTTATATATAAACTTCTGTATAAAAAATAAAAGTTAATGTTACCTCTGATCATTCTACAATTGTTCGTATATCTATATTTGCTCCCATTATCTCTTTATTTGCCTTACAGAAAATACGGTTACCACTTCCTGCTTTCATCATTATATGAAACTGATTTAACAGTATCTGTAATGGAGTCCAGAGACATACAACATTTTCCCATATAAACACAATTAAAATAAAAACACTCCAAAAGCAGATGTGTGCTCACATGGAAAAAAAAATTATAGAACCTAAAAAATAATTTGGAGTTGTTGTGTTGGATATAGTTGATTTTATGTCTGCTCTTAATACTTTGGAGACTCAATAACCCATGAAATGAACTACTGATGTTGAAATAAAGGACACTGTTGTTTCGTAGTCCGAATACCAGATATTTTTGCAGGTAGAGCAATTTTCCTTTACCCAATTTGGAAAGCCTCCGGGGGAACTTTCACCATGTATGGCCATACGCAACAACAACATTACTAATAAAACAAGGCAACAATGAACAAAAACCATAGAAGTCTGGTTAAAAATTCACTTAAAGGAAATTACCACATAATTCCTGGGGGGTGGGGGGAGGGAGGGGGAAGGGGAGAGGAAGCCGGGGCTGGGGGGAAGCCCCCAAAAAATTGGAATAAAGCAGCTTACCATCTGACAACGTTCGTACAACAACATCTTGGGTCGAGACTCCAGGACCGTGTTTATTGTAAGCTACCACTCGGAAACTATACTCTGTGTATTTTTTTAATCCATTAATGGTGTAGGAGAGTCCTCCTACATCAACATCCTGTTCATACAGAAACATACACACATGTCAAGGTCAGAATCGGATCTGCGATTATAAATGTCTTAAGACTTTCAGTATAGTCAAAGTCAAAAGAAGGAATGACAACTTTCTGTTGAACCTGCAAATCAAACCCACAGTTTCTATACAGCCAGGACTTGGAAAGATGCTCACAGGGAGCTTGCAGGAGAAAATTCTATCCAATTTAAAACATAATATGGATACTGGTTCTGTAAATGAAAAGGGATTTGGCAAACTTGCCTATTAGTAAAAATTATTACTGTATTTTGAATAGTGATGCAGAAATCAAAAAGTTAATTTTATCTGAAGAATAACAACATTCCTATTTAAAAACAGATGTCAAAAACTATTTTAAAAGCTAACAAAACTATTCTTCCCTTAGCTTTTTTAAAAGCTGGAATCATATTCATATGCAATCAGATGGGCAATTAAATGACTGGGATTAATCCTCCCGAAGCTGCGATTATTCTCAGGTGGCAGCCTATATTTGTACAGAACATACTGGATTCTTCCAGTAGAATCATAAGACAATTTAATCGATTCGACACTCAGCAGCATCAAAATATCAATCACTGGATGAAAGAACTGAAGAAGTAAGAACAGATCAGATTAAGGATCATGCTAAAATCAGTCATCAGCCTACTTTACTAAAATAAAACCAGCCAACTTAGAGAAACTACGCGAGCATCCTTCACACCATCTGAACCAGAACCCTTAAGTTATTTGAAGTTTTCTTCTTGCGATACGACAGACATTCCCAAATGCGACTTGATGTGGGAGAAAACCTAAACAAGCCATCACAAAAAATACTGTTTGGATTCCAAGACACAGACATTTCACACTGGATTTTTAATTTTAAATATTTCTGTATTTTAGACTGAAGGATTCAGACTATCAGAAAAACAAACAGTTGGCAAGTTGTTTCTAGAAATTTATGGTAAAAGCATAATAAAATAAAAAACTGCTGTAATGGTGTTGTGTATCACGTAGGAAGAGCCAGGCTCTGTACCTGTTCAGTGTCCTGTCCCTTCTCCATGTAATAGAGCTTGTAGTTCTGGATTTCTCCATTGCCAGACAACGGCGTTTCCCAGGTGACGGTGACGGAGGTGGGTGAACTGGCGTACGCTCGGATATTGGGTGCCGGACCAGGCAGCTGAACTGAAATATAAGTGTGAAACTCCACTAGTCACCAAGCCTAACCATTAACATTTTCAGTAGCTAACTATTTTAGCATCAACTTCACAAGTCATCAATTCCAGTTAAAAGATGGGCATTTTTTTCATATTTCAGGATTTCACATGGATTTATTAGCAGGGGTAAAGGTGGCACCAAATTTCTGAAGGAGCTCCTGCTCCCTGGGCCTGAGTCCTTTTGTCCTGAGTGATTTGAACAAATTGCAGACTTCGCATTTTCTTCAAGTTTTTCTTTCTTTAAATTTTTTTTTTTTCTCTTTCAGTTGATGACAATTTAAATGTATTCCTTTTCTAACAGAAAGTTGAGAGAATTTAACAAGGAATGTCTTAACAGTTCTTCTTAAGGGTGAGAATAAATCACGTAACAATACTAACATGGTAAAACTTGGAAAATCATTTTGAAAATGTGGTCTGCAAGTGCAACTTTTAAGAATATGAGCTTATTCTGGGAAAGTTCACAAATGAGGAAAACAAAACAAAAAATCAATTTCAAAGTGAAGAAGATCAAAAATATTTAGAGCTTACCCTCTGGCTGAGTTGCCACCTTGAGGGGTACCGAGCTCTCTCCAGGGCCATGCTTGTTCTGAGCCACCACTCGAAAGACATAAACTGTTTCTGGCATCAGGTTTTGGATGGTCACTTGTGTCTCTCCAGCACGACTCGTATTTTCAATGCGTTCCCTTTAGGAAACAAAAGGTTTGGGCACAGAAACGATTCTTGATTAGTAAGAGGGTTTTGGAGGGGTAAATAAAGGAAGAGTTGCTACTAAGATATATCTAGTGTGTTAATGATGTGGTTATTTAACCTGCATGTACTACAGACTGTAACAGTCATACGTCAAAATCACTGGCTTCTAGTTTTTTAATTTCTCTTTAGAAAAAAATGCAGTGAAGTAAAAAAATAAATTATACTCCACATCACAAAATTCAAAGTAGTTCCTTTGTTATTCTTGTATCAGCGTGCAATATAATTCATAGTGATAGTTTATCCTACTGCTCTGAAGCCAGAAGAAGTATTTAAGAGTCTGTCGAGATTTAGGGCATTTTTGTTAATATTATGGGGCTGCTTTCTGTGTATTTTTCAAAGAAGCTGTTTTAATGTATTCTACCTCCAAACTTTACTTAGTTCCTCCCTAATATTTAGATTTTTTTCAGACCATCCATGGGCTCTGACTTGCCTACACCCAGGCAGACAGCTGTGGCGTTTATGCTGTTACCACACAAGTAGCGGAGTCAACAAAATGCAGCGTCCGCCCGCATCTCCGCTGCTCTTGTGCAGTCTGATGTGTGAGCAGAAACCATCGGCCCTGGGAATGGAACACGTGAGAGGGGCTTCTCTCCAAGCGGCGTGAAGATGTTCACCTCCAGCAACCCCAAGGAGACAGCTCCGGGCTACTGGAGCCCCAGTCTGGCTGCCAGAGTCCAAAGAACGAGCGTGCTGTGTGGGAAGGAGCATTTCTGTTGGACTCAGCAAACATTTTGTGAGCTGGAAGGCATAATCCAGTTGGGAGAGCATGCGTATTGAGACAACCAGCATGAGGAACCTCCATCGCATCTCCCAGCTGCAGGGGAACCCGTCCCTTCAGCCCCGTGGAAGCACAGTCTTGTCCCCAACATAGTTCAGGAAACTGAATCGGTTCTTATCAAGCTCAGGCTTGAGGGGAAGATTAAAAGATTAATCATCAACTAACTACAGTCTTTATTTCCAGTACATTGCTGTTGTCACATAAACTTTCAGAGAGGTATGTTTGGGTAACAACATCCACATATTGTCCTTCCCTGAACACAAATAAAAAATTTACTCCTTGCAAATACAAATAAAAGCCCTATTACAAAAGAAGAAATAAAAAAACTTCCCCACTAAGAAAAAAAAAGGGGCAATGTGACTGCTCTGAATACAATCCTTTCCCTTTTGTCTGCCAGACTTTGGTTAGCACTACAGTAGAGGGCAGACAATTCTCATCCTGATGATTAGCTGCTATTAAATAATCTTTAATGCAGGAGCCCAAGCAAAACTATTCCACTGTCTCTCCTTTCCTACCTTCCACTGTTACGCTTTAGTTTCTATCACAGCAATATAATGCCAAAATCCCCATTTTTCATTTAGTTCTTTTAAAATCAACGAGTACGGTTGATTTAGTGTAACTTGGTTGAAAACATTTTGAAATCCCTTTTAATTTCTGCACTGTATCTATACAGAGGGAAAACACCATCCTTACTGTAACAAAAGAGCTGTTTCAACACATTTTCTAGAATATTCTTCATGAAAGTTGAGCTAAAATGGCAATGAATAAACCCCTTAATTTATTTCAGAACTTTTAAAAATTTCCATCCTTAAATAAGCATCATTATAGCATATTCCAATTAAAAACATATACAAAAGGTCCTTCTTCTTTTAACGTTTACAAAGTAATTTTTGCAAGAAAGAAGCTGACAGAGAAGCAAGAGACACACTAAAGAAATATCATACCCACCACAGAATGAAATGGGGGGGCGGAGCAGGGAAAAAGATAAACATTTTCCCTTTCTAACTTTTCTAGTTCCAAAATGTTGGCTGGAAAACACATTTTCAAATGGGTATTTTCCTTTAAGATGTGTCTTAGCTACAACGATGGTATTTGAAAAACCAGAATAAGTGCCAACTGATTCACAGCTGTGGAATAACGTTTGTCTCTCATTGACATGCAAAATATATTGCATTTTCTTCCTCAAGTGTAAATGCACTCACTGATTTTTATCCAGAAAAAAAAAAAAAATCAGCAATCCAAGGTTATTATTTAAAATTACAAAAAAATCAAAGTATTTTAATGGAAAGATAATATTTATCAAAAAATAAATAGAGACATGAAAGTATTGCAATTTTCAGTAATAACTAGGAACAGTGCCTTCCCTCACAAGAGTATGTTAAAAATACATTGAGATTAATCTAATTAAGTGCTACATGAATCTCTCATTTCTGCCCTTTCTTAGGGAGCCTTGAGCACCTTTTATGAGCTCTGATGTGTTTAGGTAGACATAATCGGTAACAAAACAGATGGTCTATATGAATAACTATATTACCCTACAGAACATGATGACTATCCTAACTCATTCCAGTTTAATTCCTAATTAAAGAGCTTTGTAAACTAGAATTAAGGTTTAAAACAGCTATCAAATACCTAAGGGAAAAAAAGCCTACAGTTCAAAACAAAAACAAGCAGAAATGTGAAGTTTAAAGTTACACTTATAATAAAAATAACCTTCAGGGAATTATTAAAAAGTGAACATCGTCTGTGCCAGCCATGTCAGCTGCATTGAGCTTGGAGAGACATTCTGACAGCGTGATTGCACACAATTAAACTCCATTTGCTCAGTTTGAAGCACACTATGTTGAGCCGTGGGTTTAATATTAGTATCTCACATGTGTAATTTACCATCTTGTACTAACAGTTTTAGCTATTTCTTTTATTTTTGTCCAGATCTTGAAAAGTTTGGAGTTCTGCTTGAGTGCTTGTCTAGTCTCACAGGATTAAACCTCCCTCTGCCTGCCCGCAAAACATTTGAATTTTCATACCCTTTTCAGGGGAATTGCCTTAAATTCGGAATATCCAACGCAAGGGTGAAATAACCGTAATAACTATATAATCTGTAAAGAAGATGGTCATTTTTATCTGATCAGATTACTCGAGTTCTTCTAGAGGTGGGACAATAAAGCCATGAGACACCCATGTAATTCGTATGTAATTGCCTCAATAAAAACCTCTTTTTGACATTATCAAGCAAACATGAAGACGTCTTGTTTAAGGAAAGCCACCAGCTGGTGACATTCTTTAGCCGGTCAAACAAGCAGTAGCAATTCACCTTCATGGCTGATTTCCACGCTTTGATGTGCTCCTCTTGCACAGATGGTTTCAGTTTCTCTTTTAAGAAGAGCCTCCAAGTCCTATGGATCTTTATTCTCACTCACTCCTCAGCAGACACTACACACTATCAGAACCAGCTTTAATAATTTCAGGAGTAATAAAAGCAACAACTAAACTTTGGGCAGAAGACATCTCTTGGCAGCTAAAGGAACTGATGGCAGAAAGGTGCCCCATGATTATAGGGGGCAACCAGGTTCCAGTCACCTTGTAATATTCTAAATAAGTTCAAAGGGCCAAGCTAAGGAACACCTTACCATGTCTCTGTGTGTCTCTCCTTCCACTGAACAGATAAAACTACAAGGAATGTAAATCAGCAGTGGCTGAGGCAGCTGATACCTCAGGAACCACATTACTTTTTATACTGCAGAGAGATTTAAGAGCTCCTACAAGTCACAATATGAAGATGATGCTCCACAGCCCTTTAAGGATGGTTTAAAGATGTCAGAATATCTAGCTAACCCGTTCCATAGGTACTTTTATAATTTTTCACAATTTAAAAGGTAAATAAATCCAACACCCAGCTTGGTCACTGCTCAAATACAAGTAAGGAAGTGACAATGCTTAGGTTACTAAAAGGATCCAGTGACACGTGTGATGAAAATGGTACACATCAGCAAAAATATAATAGTAGGAGGAGATGGTACACATGCACTTAAAACCACAGCAAAGATACATGATCACGTATAATTCAAGGTCTACAATGTGATCATTTAAGCAGTGTTTTATCACGCTGAGAAAGAAAGGAGGGTTGGACTTATTTTTTTTTTTTTTATTTTGGACCACTTAGGTGCATGTGACACACTCAGCTCTTTTTTTATTCAGTAACCAAGCAGTATTTCAACAAAGCCCAACTAACTGGTTAAAAAATACCACATAACATCACAATGGTAAACAAAACTTTTTTTTTTTAATTTTATTGTTCTCCTCTTCTAAATCCAGGTTCAACTGCAGGATTTCACAGTATTTTCATACCAATCTGTGAAATGTGTGATAAGAACCGTCTTTATGGGGCATAATAAAAAACTTATAAAAAGCAAAGGAGTGGTGAAGTTGAGAAAATAGTGAATGTGTGCTAATAAAAGGCTTTTGGAGCCTACTTTGAACTCTGATCCAGAAGGGCACTTAAGCAAACAAAGATTTCATTGAAGTCAATGAAACCACCTGCTTACATATAAGTACCAGCTTAGGTACTTTGCTGTGTAGACTTTCCGTAGAGCCCAGAGGGTTGCTCTGCAAGAACTGGAAACAGCCGTTTCTGCAGACTGTCCT